CCCATCAAACACAGGTTTAAGGTTACCGAAAATTTTGCTATAAGCGTGAACCATTGTTTCGATAATTTCTCGATTTACTTTCCTAGGACACTTGTCAGGTTGAATGTTTATGTCGTAGTGATGTACAAATCCACGTGGCATAGAAATTTGGAAATGATTAGCTCGAAGAACAATAGGCCTTCCCTCTCGGCCCAGGTTAGGTCGCCGTGGGCAGTTGAACACTGAAAAGGTATTGCAGGATTAATATTGAGTATTCATATTCAAGGTATGACTGAAGAAAAAATAATTAACTTGAAACAAAGTTGGTATGATTAAACTATGAAAGAACTGAGTACTTAGTTTTAAAGACAAAATAAACACTTGTATTGTGCAGGCAGCACTCACTTGGCAAATCTGGTGGCTGCGGAGGTTGATGCGGTTGAGAGGGGGGAAGCAGACCCATTGCACCAGGAGGAACGGCTACAGCTCCAGGTGGAGCTACTGGCCCCGGCGGTGCCCCTGCAGGCCCAGGTGGCGGAGCTAAAATAAACATTCTTACATAGACAAAAACTTCTAGAAATATACCTAACTTAAAAGCTATATAATATACTACATTAGGACCAACCATCTCGTAGCTTTCTTTCAACGGTTTCTCTATTATAGATACAGTTTTGCACTTAACCTAGATTCACTAGAAGTCAGAGGCTAAATGACCTATGTAATTTGCTTGCAAATTCAAATTTAATAAAGTAAAAATAGATAAGTGATTGTCAGTAATAACATAGATCTTACAATATAATAAAGCTTACAATAAATATCTGATTGAGACATCTAGGCCTATTAGAAATGTTTATGCTAATAAAATACCCTTAGACCGTAGAAAGACACGTATTATAATAGGCCTACTTTATAGACTGTGCAGTTAAAAAATAAATGCCTGTAGGACAGTTTCATGAGTTAAAATAAAATATATATATGGACAAAGCATAAATATGGTGCAATTTATTCTCATTTTAAATGTTTCAGTTAAAATAACACAAACTTAGGCTAATTTAAAATTAGGCTACTATTCATTGACACTCAATTTTACATTAATTATACAGAGCATTTAAAACTAAAGAGAAATAATGTATAACAAATAATGTATTTATTTTATACATCCCCAAAAATATGTAACATTTACTAGAAAGAGGTCTCAAAAAAATCATGCTCTAAAACTTGTTTTGATACGGACAAAACTAGGCCTAAATCATTTTATATTTTACTGTACAGTAGGCCTATTTTTAGCCTAATGCCTATAAACATTTGACTGTGTAAAGCAGTCTACTATTGCTTAATGGTTTTTGATTGGTTGACCAGATTTCTCAGCTCCACTGTACAGGAAAAGAGAAAAATAATTGACACCAACTTCCTTCTGTCACATTTGGTACGATTTGAAGGGCAGCCTCATTTGAAATTTATGAAGTGATTTTCTCGCTCCAAGACACTGGCATTTCTCACGCAATCTAGACCGTCTTGCTACGCACTCGAGCTACGACAATGGTGCGTCTCGCAGCGAGGCGCAACAGCACTCAAAGGGTTAACGTTTTGGTTTGAAGTGTTCGCAGTAAATTTTTTACTACAGGTAGGTACTTTCCTGTTAAGGGGAACATTCATTATTATCAATAATTTCTTTTCAATATATATCGATATTTTTGTTTTCCTTTACAATCCATATTCCATCTGTTTTAATATCTTCAAAATCGAGACGGGATTTCCCTTCTCATACACAACGGGAAATGCACGTTCAAAATGTTTACCTGATTTTGTAACATTGTTTGTTAGATGACTGTTTAAATACAAAAATAATGATAATAGGCAAGAATATTTACAATCTTTTATTAAAAAACATCAGCATAACATTTTTTTATTAATCACGCCTAACTTATTAAAAATGCCTACGATTAGGAAACATAGTGATATCAGTTAGGACGGAGTTAAACTTATCCTAAAATAAAATAAATCATAAAATAAAAGCAATATTAATTTTTATAAAATAGTTAGGGACCTACTTGTTTTGACTTTTTATAGTAATAAAACATTCCTCACACTGCTTACACTTAAGAAAACTTCTCAAATGTTATTAAAGCAATATTATTAAAATAATTAAAGTAATATTTACATTTAAAGAATTAATTAAATAAGAACGCCTTCGCAAAGGAAACGCAACTACAACACGCTCCTGTATTGCGGGTATTGCATTGACTTTCTGCAGGCGTTTTTAATTTTATTTTAATTTTTTTTTTTTATTCTCGTCTCGATAAAAATCTCGGCCAAAAAGAAATCTTGTCTCGTGTAACGAGATTTAAAATTTCCCAAAAATTTCCCGAAATTTCGAGACTTGACCATCCCTACTTCAAACGCATTTAAATTACAGACAGACAGACAACAGACATAGTAAATATGTCTAAGTTATACTTTGTTCAATAACCGAGTTATTGAGTTATAGCTCGTATTAGACAATAGGGTTAAGAACTAATCTTGTTTAGGCAAAAATAATAGCCTATATTGAATTAAGAAATTAAACTATTCTAAGCTTAGAACCTAACATCACTAGCCAAACTTGCTGTAAGTTAGGCTAAGCTACCGTTTTAAAATTCAGTTTGATAACAGACAAGGCATATGGAGAATAGGCTATCAAACGGAATTTTTGAAATGTTACAGCAAGTTTGGTTAGTTAGGTTAGTGAAAAACAGTTTCATTTCAATATAGCCTAGTATTTTTTTATTGTTTGTTGACACTGAACAACATCTATTAGGCCTAATTATCGTAGTTGTCAGCTGATAAGTTAAATTCGTTAATATCAAAATAGGCCTATAGAATAAAACATCGATATATCGAAAAGAGATCATCGATAATAATGAATGTTCCTTTTAACAGGAAAGTACAGTCTAACCTTGATATAACACACCTTGATATAAATTTTTTTTAAATCCCCTTACACTCCATAACACTCAATCTATAATTTAAACCTCTAGCCTACATAACAAACAACCCATATCAACAACCTTGATTTAACCAATTTTTGATGATCCCAGCTAAAATAAGACACCTAAATATAACAAATTTATCGTTGCCAGAACCTATACAAAGCGAATTTAACCTCTACTCAACGAATTGTCTGCGTCTTTCCCTCGATATAACGAACTCACCCCACCATATTGTTGGAAAAAAATCACAATTTCTTGACGAATAACTTTTAAAATGGTAAGATGACGTCAATACTTGTGCAACATTCGACTGCACAGTTTTTCACATCTCTACATCTTTCTGCCAAGCGCGTCACAACTATTTCATTCAGCGAGGACTAATGACCGAGATCTTGTTTCTGAACCTCGACTTAGCAAAATTCCTGCAATCCTAACCTCAATATAACAATCCTCGTTTAATGAAATCCTTGATATAAATTTAACAAATATTCAGTTCGGACCGAGGTTGGACAGTAGCCTACCTAAAAAATTAACTTACTGACACCAGGAGAGTTATACTGTAAGTAAGCGTAAGTTAAAATCCATCGACTAAGTTATCTTGATTTTAAAACAATAATGGAGATTTAAGAGAAAATTTGTGTTCCTCTCTTTAAAGGTCTAAATTAAACACAAGACTACAGTAGCCTATAAGTTATCTTATTGATTTATTTTTCTATCTGGAATTAGCAGGTTAGCTTTGTTCTAAACTTAGGTATAAATTAGGCCTAGGCTTGGCCTAACGTAACTTAAATATACTTTACCCTCAGCCTAAGTTTATCTTTTAAAGTTAAGATCTTGTAGGGTTTTTAGCATATTTAAATGGTGGTTTAAAGCAGACTGTACCCTAGCTATACTGTGAGTAGAATGTGGCGGGAAGATTACCAACTCAAAGATTCTGACCATAGCCTAACTTATCTTAGCTTTGACTGTTTTAGAGCTTAAAGTTGAAAAAAGTGGTTAATATTACATAAATTAGTTTGCTTTAAATTGTATGACTCATAGGGCATTGAGGAGTTGTTGGACTGAAAATAAAGTCCATGAAGCACAAACAATTTCTCTAAGGTCATTCAACCCAATTCTGGGTCATCTTAAGCCTTATACCAGCCAATCTAGCCTAAAAGTTGGTGTAAGATAAATTCTTCAAATAACGTTACTAGACCAAAGTTATAAAAATAATAAATTCACCAAAAAAATTTGGGTGGTCAACAAAATAAAATATTTTCGATTCAGAATGATATATGGACCTAACGTTCTGATAGTCTTAAGTTTCAGAGATGGTAGCACAAATCGCAGTATATCGTGCTAACGAACGTATATAATAATATATTATTGTATACATACGTTGAGACACAGGATACATAGTTATTTCTTGAGGTAAAAAACTACTTGTACGATCACTAATTATAAAATTTTGTTAATACAAGGCGCTCGACGAGCGACCCCGCAGTCACGAACAATTTGACAATATGGCGAGTGGCGGACTCGAGTGACGTAAGCCCCAAACGCACTACCAACACACAAAACGAAATTCATGGCTGTTTTAACCTCTTTTAAATAGAAAGTATTGATTATACGACGAGGTTTTCATTTTGTTAGGTTTCAAGTCTGTTTCTCGGATAGAAACACCAAACGAAACGACCAAACAGCAGTTTCCATTCGCGGGATTATTATCCCGAAAACGGGATTTTTAGACCTTGAGCGGGATTAAAACGGGATGCGGGATAAAACGGGATTTTCGGCTGTAACGACTATTTTTATTTTTTTCTGCTCAATTTTAGAGAAAAACTAACTCAAATTGTTTAAATACTGTAGCAAAATATAATAGTGATGTTTAAGCAACTTATAAAAATGATACGTAAAGTTTAATACTAGGAATTGTACCAAAAAAATCATGCGGGATAAAACGGGATTTTTCACTGATTTAAAAGCGGGATAAAACGGGATTTCTCGACCCAGTACGCGGGATTATTTTTTTGGTCGTGTGGAAACACTGCCAAACAGATCTCCACTCACTCACTGCTCCGTAGCTCAAAGCAAAGATCAGAAAAGACGACAAATTACTATTCTAAACATGTGTTTCTTTAGTGGTTATTTTCACTCCGCTATTCGTTCATTGTGTTAATTTTTCTGTACCCTAATAAACTAGGCCTAGATCGGGGATATTTCTTCAACCTAACAGGTGCTTTTGTTTTACATTGATAAAGTTAAGTTCAACCTGATTCTATTTTTACCTTTCTGTATTATTTAAGTCACATAGGCTAGGCTAGTAATAGGCCTAGGCAATTAATACTCAAACACTTGTGTGAAATTCCTAGGTCAAGTATGGCTGTCCGTTTCTCTGGAAGTATTTGTCGTTCTGGAGGTATTACAAGTGCCATTGCAAAAGAAACAAGAAAACTTTCCTTAAAACCTGTTAAACGTATTGTCTTTCAGTTTGACCCCTTTGTTGAAGAGTCCAAGCACACAAGGTAAGGGGTTTATTTCATTATGAAGGTGATGGGTTGTTACCTTAGGAAGGGCCTAAATCCTAAAATTAAATTAGTGATGTAGGGAAGCTGGTCTAAATAAAATCAATATATTTTAATTGTGCCTGGCCAGAAATGTGATTTCCATTAGGCTATTCCAGGTAGGTTAGTTTGCTTCTCAACATTTTGGACTTTTTTTAGACCTTCCTAAACCATTCCTACAAGGAGCGGAGGGATACAGAACAGTGCTAGGCCTACTACTTACTCTTGCTTTGGCTCCTAGAATGGTTTAGTGTTACCAGCTGATCATAAATTTAATGTTTTGATTTAAAAATGAAACAAACTGTTCTAAACAAACAAAACCTACGGTAGGGCCTACGTAACGAAACTTAATTAAGCTTAGCCAGGCTAAGTTGAGTCCTTTGAAGGTGGGTTAGACATTTCATTTTCCAAACAAAATAATATATTATAAAACAGTAGGCCTATACTTTACATTGTTTTTAAGTTTCTAAGATACATTTTAATAAAACCCTGCGATTGCGCAATAAATGGGCGAAAATTAAGACCAAAACTAGAGATACTTGGAGGGTTATAGGCGAGTCGGGTTGTTTATTGATGTTACGCCCATGTTGTTTTTTATCTTTTGGAATAAATATTTAAACGACAAGACAATTTCAAAAAAGCAAGCTGCTGCTCCCAATTTTCAATGAGAATGAGAGGATGTCTGGCTTATGTCTAACTGTACCTTGTTTGCCATTATCATAAAATAGACTAAAAATCTAACCTGAATGTCACTGTGACTGTTAAAGAGTAGGGCTCCTTGAAAAGCCACGTAAGAGAAAATAATATTTATGTTGGTATTTATTCCGTACAGGTGCCTCCAAACGATTTTTTAATTTTGATATCTTACTTTATAGTTTTTTACCTCCTGAATCCAAATATACCATTAATTTTCACCGCTGATGAATATTTCTCAAGATATCGCCGTAAAAACATACCTAACATTACTATAAACAAGATAGGATGGATGACATTTTACAAGTGGAATGAACTGTAGGTTAACTAAGCCTTAAGCCTACTTACAGCTGATTCTGTCACCGGCAATTTGCCTATTGACGACATTTTACTTCACTACAAATAAAATACAAAACAAAATACTCATTCGTACCTACTCATAAGTGTTGCGTAGTGCTAGCTAAGTGCTATTCTGTCTGCTACGCCGTCGCCATCACAAGTTCAGATTAAGTTACGCGAAGAGAGTAAAATGGTTGATGAGAAGAATAACATCGTTGACTGAAGATAATAACATCGTTGTAGACACGGCCGCCTTTAACCACGGCCGCAGGCGGCCGTGCTTTAACTTTGTAGAAACATATCAAGTGATTCTATAGTCAATAAGTTAACTTAATGTTTACTACAATACAATAGGAATTTCGTCACATTATGGAGATATAGATGGAATAATGGACTAATTACTCGTAGTTCTTATTTAGGCATGTCAGGGTGATAGGTCGTGCTATATGTGAATTGGTGACTGCATTAAGTGTTTTGAAGTTAGGTTAGATTAGGAAGGTAAAGTTTAGGTTATAATGTATCGAGTTGTTAGTTTATGTCGCCTGCAGACTGTTTTTGTAAAATTAAAATCCTGAGAAAAACACTTCAAATTACTATTTCAAAACTGTATCCATTCTGCTTACTGACTCAGTAAGCTCATTAATACTGAGCTATTAGGTCTACATCCCTGCTACTAACCAGACGCTTACTATTAACCAGACGCTTATTACGCTATCTTTTTACTTCTTGTATAACTTGAAACATCAATCAAATTAAGTACTAAGTAACCTTTACAGGTGAAAACCTTACCTGTACAGCTACCACAGCCATAATTGTTGGAAATAGCTGTGGGTAGCTCAGTATGGTAAATCTGCACATCTGCAGGGCAAGGTAGAGCCATCCTGAAAAAATAAATTAGCAACTGTAACTAATTGTAGGGTAGGCTACGGTATTTAAATCTGGTAATTATAGCATGGTTGTTGGAAATATGTTCAAAACGTCTAGTTCATCAAGATTCCACAATGTATCAACATGTAGACCTTTATTTATTTAATACTTTTAACAAGCTGCAATATTTGGACTTGAGTTTTGAGATAAACATGAATTATTCAACATCATCTGAGATTTGATTTATCAAGACAAATTTTGGGCAGCTAACTGGGGCCATAGCTTGATCTTAAATGTATTTATATCACTTTATAGAGTAGCCTACATACTGATACTTTTTGCATTTCCAGAGATTTTATGTACTACCTTCAATCCAAGAAAGTTATCAAGACAAATCCCAATTGTGTGGTGAAATCAAACGTCTTATGTGACAGAGGAGATCCCTCCATAGCATTCAACTTAGGTAGGCCTATCTTAGTTTTCTATTATACACTAGGTCAACTAAATTTGCTTTAGGTTATTCCCACATTATAACAGTTAGTGTGTTTCACTTTTCATCTATCCCAAACCCTACTATTTATCGTTAAATACCTACATCATGAGATGGCTAGGTCTAAAAATTAAGTTGTGCCTATACTTGAATAAAATGTCGTTTAATTTTCAAATTGTCCGTACTAAAAGGGTGAAAATAAATAGGCTGGAAGGTCCAGAACCTAGAGCTCAATTTCTTATGATCAAAATAGCTCAACCAAGTTGCAATAATCTGGAATCCTTACCATCACAATCATTGTGTGTTAATGTTTTAGGAAAGAACAAAACTGGAACTTGGTCACTGAGACTACCTTATTCTTTAAAATGGAACCTTAAGATTGGGAAGATTAGAGATTCTCAATAAAGTAAATTTTAAAGTTTTTTGTGATGCTAAACTTTGATAGTTGAACAAAGGTAGCTAAACAGATGGATTATATGATCAAGTTATAACAATTTGATTTGACTGTTGTTTTGAACCTCTGTGAATAAGAACTGTCTTTAGGGTCACCACCAAAGAAACAGCACAAATTTAACTCTAAAAGACAGTTTGTTACAACCATTGAAACTAACTAACACTGTTTTTGTTTTGTTTTTTTACAGAAAATGGTTCCTCAGTGCTGTTCAAAGCCAAGCATTTATCAACATTGGAAATGTTCAGACTCTACAACAAACACATAACAACTCTGTTGCCGAAAGAGGTTCCGACAACTATCCTTAAAACAAAGTCTGAGAAGGCAAAGAAGCGATAAGTTGAGTCTATAGCTGCTGCGTAGGTGATACAAGACAACATGCCAAAGAGCAACAAACAGTATAATGTTAAACTCATTGATGAACTTTACAACCAGATTCCCGCGTTCACTGACTTGTTTGACGAAGAGACATGGTACATGTTTGTCGGGTGTTTTGTGGCGACTACCATTGTAGTTGTCTTTATTATGTCTAGATTTATAACCATAAAACCAGTTGAGTGGTAGTTTTGAACAATTTCAATTTACTTCCTCCCAAAAAGTTGCTTAAGTAGTACAGTACAGCTTTAGTGTGTTTATTATCACTACACTTAAATGTGTGCATTGTTTTGTGTTTCTTAAAAAAAACTTTTTTTAAATGTGAATTAAAGAAGGATTGAATCTTAGAGTTAGACTTTTTTATTATTGGTTACATAATAGTGAAAAATGGAATTTTAACATATATCCTATGATATGAATGTTAAATTATCTTGATGCGGAATGTAATGTGTACTAGAACAATATAAATCATGCAATGTTTACCTCTTTTCCAAACAATGCATTTTGTGTAAGGTTGGCGTTATGCTAATATAGTGCAAAGTTAGTGAATTAAAATTTTGTTTTATTTCACCACACCCCCACAAAGGCAACTCTACTTTCAATACGTAGCAACCAACTCAAGTTACTAAACACAAGTCTAAATGGCTTATCAAAATATTCAGAAAATAATTACTTACTTTCCGTGTCCGGAAATCAGTCTTCGCTTTTCCAAAAACTAGCTACCGATATGGCCCCGGGTACGATACGAGCGGCGCCGCTCTGACATCGGGCCTCATTTAGTTGCATATAAATTTGCTGAGGGTGGCCACGATACGTCTGAGCGGCCGCCGCTCATGGTTCCAAGTCAAAACCGATTTTCGCAAAAACGCCGCTCGCCGCTCAGGTGAGTCATGCTTCAGTTCGGCCTAAAATGACAGGGAAACAGCAGCAAACATGCGATACGGGTCGATACGTGAGGTGCAGTCCAGGGAATTTTTTTGGAATGACCAGCACGGAAGTTTTAAAACACTTCAGTCATCAGGAAAGTATAGGAAAAAATTTGGGTTAAGGTTTTTCTAAAAACTAAGTTTTTCTTTAAACGCAAAAAATTGTCAGATAGCAACAAAAGTTGCAATACGTCTTGCAGGTAAGCATAGTTTACCATTTTATACTAAACTGATTCATAAAACTTGGGAAACTAGATGAGCGTTATACATGTGCCGCTTGTATCGTAGCCACCACCGCCGCTTACGTGCCGCTCAGGTTGCCGCTCGCCGCTTGTATCGTACCCGAGGCCTATGGCTTTGTCATTCGCATGTAAAAGATCATCTAATGTGCAAGACTGGTCTAGGCGTGGGCAGATGGCCAGGATCCTGAACAGCACCACACGCGCACAAGATGTTTTCTTCGTCTAGTAAGAGACCCCATTTCTGCATGTTTGTCTTGCATTTTGGTACCTCGATCCTAATTCGATTTAGGGTTTTCCACACCGTGTAATGAGGGCCTCCACCAGGAGCCAGTTCCTCCCTGGCTGGTATGGGAGGGTTAGTCTGCAGCCGACACACTGAGCGCTAAAGCTGAGGTTCTGAGGACATTAGGGTTAGCACCCCAGCATCTGCTGGTGAGCTTCCTGATGATATTATTCCTCGCTGAGACTTTACCTCTTGTCGCAATAAAATGTGCCTTAAATGTCAGTGTGCCTTCCATTATGACACCAAGATATTTGGGTGTAGGACAATGCTGAAGACGGTCTCCCTGCCACCTCACATTCAACTCACCGGCTTCTCTATTGTTTAGGTGAAAGGCACTAACTTGGGTCTTAGCAGGGTTCGGTTTGAGGTGATTTGCGTCATAGTACTGGGAAAGTTTATTTAGAGTCATAGTCAGCTTCTGTTCCACCTCTTCAAAACTCCTACCTTGTGCTGCCACCGCCATATCATCGACATATATATACTGACGTGTAGCGTTTGGCAACGGTTGGTCGTTAGTGTAAATGTTATAAAGAGCTGGGGCTAAGACGCTACCCTGAGGCAATCCATTTCTTTGATTCCTCCATCTACTTTTCTTGCCTTGAAGGGACACGAAAAACTGCATGTTATAAAGAAAAGTGCCTATCATTGAAGTCAGCTGATAGTCTTTGGTAATAAATAATTTTTAGAGAAAATAATTGATTCACACTCAATATTCTAGGACATATCATAATCCAATTTCAAATCTTTTCTAAGTGATATAATCATTTTCTACTAAAATGTCAACTATAATAGGCTATAGTAGAACTATTAGCCTATATAAACTATCCTTATGTTCCATAATGTAAAAACATTCCAAAAAATACAGTTCAGGTTGAAAATTTATTTAGGCTAACTTAAGATAAATTTTTAACTTCATAAGATCATGTGTTTGTGATTATTTACAGTGGTATCCCTACTAGACATTAATTATTAAACTATCAGTTCTCTCTCTCTCTCGGCACCGCTTTTATAAATAGGTCCCTGCCCAGGGGCGCAAAAGGTTTTGGGTTTATTGGGGGCACAAGGAAGAGAAAAATTCCCCTACAAGGTAGGTGGAGAGGGGCGCAATTGTCTCAGGCACATAGCGCAACACATGGAAACCGCTGGCTTGTCTCTCAGATATATTATAAACTGAACTGTCAGTATGAAGCAAATGATCCGTAGTATAAGTTTACTTGTTTCTAACACCTGGTGGATTTCAAGCTATTATTTAATATCCCCATTAGTGATGATAAAGCTTTTACACTAATGTTTCATATTTTATTTATTGTTAGCTAGACCTTTTTCTGTAACCTCAACACTACTTTCACACTATACGGTTTTTGCAGTAGGCCTACGGTTTAAAAAGATACAGTGCCTGTTATTTTTATTTTTAAGTAGCCTATTGTTAAGAAAAGCATGAGAGCTTTCACACTACACGTAGACAGAATAAAACCGTTCACTGCCACTGAATCAATTGTGCCGTCAGGAATTCCGCTTGCCGATTCATAACCAATGGGTTGGCAGTCCAGATGGAGGGAAGCCAAGCGGCAGTCATTTTTAGACCAATCTTTCAAAGTAAATTTTAAAAATCTGTTGAGGTCATTTACACTTTTAGGTTAAGCCGCATGGCAAGATGTCATTTGCACAACTGTGACAACTTATGCCAATCTGGTTGGCTTTTCCGAACGGCCTACATCAGCATAATGGGGATGGGGCTAGAAGTGGTTGGCACACACATTAAATTAACTGTGTGATTAGTGGCACATGTAGTTAAATGTAAGAGCTCTCAAACTGTACGAATAAACAGGAGACCACCGGCCAGTGCAAATAAATCAGCTGTTGTTGTACTGTTTATAATTTGGCTTCGCAATTGGACACTGTCTATATCTATATTGTGATGTAAACACATTCTACCAGAGGTGCCACGTGACCCGTAGATTTGGGGTGGACACAATTGGACACACAGGACACCATTGGAAAGTCCCATTATTCTAGATTGGAAAGTAGAAGAAATGTATTTTTATCTGGATTTTTATTGTTGGTGGGCTACAAAAATTAACAATTTTGTAATGTGAGGGGGGGCACACACCCTTCCTGGCGTTACGCTTGTCTCAGTGTACGGTTAGAAACCAAATAATGTTTACAAGACCCTAGTAAAACTAAGACAACAAAAACCAAATAGTTTGGAAGGAGCGTAACAATTTGTTATGTAAAAGAGAATCACCCTTTTTCATAAATCACCATAAAATGTGATGTGGAAAGCAAAAAGGGACCTCTTGTCGGTAATTTTTGATTTTGAGTTACCCGGTATATATATATATTTGAATTCCTTAGTCCTTATTATAACAATGAAGTAAAACAAAATTAACAAACTAAATTCACTAAAGGTATTTCACCAAAATATACAGCATCTCAATTCAAGAATTAACGTATAGAAGCAACATTACATGAACTAAAGCCGCATTTTGTCAGAACATGACATGAGAGAAGATGAATTAAATAGATTAAATCATGATTAGGTTACATGAAACAGGGAAGGAAGGGTTAAGTGGAGTCTTCAGGGATTCCCTTTCAGCAAACCCCTGGTTTCCCCTCTTAGGTATGAAGGGCTAAGACGAAAAAGTTACCGCTGCAGTGACATATTAATTTGGTTACCGTAACATATTACATTTGATTGGTCATGATGTAAGATGACGTTAAAATGCCCACACTTAATGCTTAATTGTGTAAATTGTAAGTTTGTAAATTGTAGTTTTTAGAACAGTAAGTTGTATAATGAACAGGAATTTAAAAGCCGAACCATTTGTCGGCTCACTCGGCAAACACAGGACACTTAATTTGTTACAAGTTCACTTTCAAGGAAACTAATTAACTCAATTCAGTTCTGATTTTTCTCACACAACACAACATCTTAACTCAATCCAACAGCAAGGCGGACCAATTTAAATTAGGCTAATTTGATATCAACTGTTCATAGCAATTGTGATAAAAATTGTGTCGCTTAACTTAGTCTAGGTTCACTTAGTCTAGGATGGTGTGAGGAATCAACTAAAACGCTTCACGTTAGGCCCTACAAAACCGTATGCAACGGGACCGACTTATTTAAGTTCAAAAAATTTAGACATAGACATAGGCTAGACATATTTTATTCGTGAATCAGGAACAAATGATACGATGCACATCTCAATCGTCAAATACATTATATGGAGTAGTCTAGTAGCTTTTAAAACAAAACAAAAAAATAGTTAAGTCAATTTCATTCTAAAGAAGATTTAAACAAAATGCTATGTTTAATGAGATCAGGCAGACAGCAATTCTTCGATACTTTAAAACTCGCCTTCCACCAAATAAGTTTTCAGCTGTTTCCCAAAACCTTTAAAACCCAACCTTGGACTGCACTTCAGGATGCTTATTATAGAAGAAAGGCCCCATGCCCATGATTTTACTTGACCAATCAAACTTACTTACTTCTTCTTCATCTTTAACATAATACCCCCGTCGCAGCAAACCTGCCGACTAAGCAGTTTTCATTTGTCCGAATTGATTTTCAACTAAACCAATTTAAATAACATTTAGGTTTAATAAGTACCTAGGTTTGCTGCTACAAGGAAACTTATAAAGTGC